GGTTCTCTATTCTGTTCCATTCATCTGAGGGTCTGTTTTTGTGCCAGTACCATACTGTCTTGATGATTACAGCTTTATAATACGTCTTGGAGTCCAGGAGTGTGACGCCTCCAGCTTTGGTTTTATCAGGATTGCTTTGGCTATTCGGGGTCTTTTCTGGTTCCATACAAATTTTAGGATGGTTTGTTCTAGCTCTGTGAAGAATGCTGGTGTTATTTTGACAGGGATAGCATTGAATATTTAGATTGCTTTGGGTAGTATGGACATTTTAACAATATTTGTTCTTCCAATCCAGGAGCATGGAATATTTTTCGATTTTTTTGTGTGCCTTCTTCAATTTCTTTCATAAGTTTTCTACAGTTTTCAGTGTATGGATTTTTCACCTCTTTGTATAACCTTATAATCTTAAATATGAATCGGAACTATCATGATTTCTTTTTCTCTTTCTAAAAATACATATTTTCTAGCTCTGTACTGAAAGGGCCTAGAAGTAAGGATAATCTAGGAGCAATAAGCACTCCTGGCTGGCATCCATGGTCTCTAAATATCATTTTCCAATAAAAGAAACCAGGGCTCCTTAAAAAATGTCCGATGCTAGGTCTAAGGTAGAAAAAATACAAGACAAGCATGGAATATACCTTAGTGTGCCAAAAAGCAAGGGAAATATAAAAGACTATTGGGATGTTAAAAGGTACAGAAGCCAACCTATAGGTGCTCCAACTGGCCAATGATGGTGTAATTTGAGCACTGAAAAGAATGATGATGCAATGGACTACGATGCATCAAACACATTAAAATCTACAAACTCATAATGATACTGAAAAAAAACTTCACTAGTTACCTTTGGAAGTTGCTAGGACATCAACTCATTAATCAAAAACTTGATAAATGAAAGAATGAAAGATCTATCCTGTCTTTCCATTTAGAACTGTATTCCAGGATAATCAAATAGTTAATGAAGAAAATTTTGTTATATAAAAACCCCAACTGTTAAATGCAGAAGAAATGAAGGAATTAGAAAAATAACTATTTTGCAACCTCTAATGAAAAAACGAATCTAAACAACAATCACAATTGGCTACTATAAACATTAAGTGAAAAGTGGCTGGAGAATTTTCATAATAGATTAGATCAGGCTGACAATACCTGAACCCTGAAACCTGATCAGTCTTAACGTGACTGAAGTGGGACAAGCAGACCTTATAAAACTTCTGATGTGATGTAGTAGGAAACACTTAGTGTCAATCTTTATTTATTATTTATTCTTGCCAAAGGAATTGAATCGGTGTCTAATCAAGCTTCTGTATCTAATCTCCAATTTATAAGACATAAGGAGGGATGAGAAGCATGTTTAAGACCCCACAAAAATTCAGTCAATCAAATTAAGAATGTGGTAATTTCATTCTATCAAGTGAGCCAGTTTTGTTTTTGTGTTTTTAATGAATGATTTGAGGAAAAGAGGTGGGAAGGGGAAAGCTGTTATAAAGAAACTTATCAATCAAATGTAATTATGATCCTTGTTCAGATTCTGATTTTAACAAGACAATTACAAACAAATATTCTTGATACAATAAAGGAAGTCTCTACCTGGGTATTAGATAGATGTTACACAATACTAGAAATTGTTAACTTTTTTAAATTTAAGAATGGCATTGTGGATATTTCAGTTGTTTTGAAGCTCCTCATTGGTGAGAGATAAACGCTGAAGTACAAGAAGATAAAATGATATGTCTGGGGTTTGCTTTTTAAAATCCAAAAGGAAAAAAACCTGTGTTGTATGGAGGGAGGGTGGAGCCAAAAAACTGACCAACCACTAATTAGTGTTGAGTCTGAGTAATGGGCTCATGGAAATTCATTTTATTATTATTTACTTCTGTAAATGTTTCTAACTTTCCATATTAAAAATTTAAAAAGAAATAAAAGAAGGGAAAGTAGGACTGGAAAATGAAGCATCTTTACTTTTAAAAAAAAAGAAAGAAAAATCACTCAAATGTGGCACTTATATTACACTGATAGGTTACAACATAAACCTTCGTTCAGTCCTTAGAACTGTCTTAAGATGACAACATTACTCACCATCCTCATGGTCGAATCTTCCCAAAACAAAGTTGATTCCAATCCATGCATAAACTCCTAGGTAAGAAACATAAAAGCCCATGCTTAATTCTCTATTGCTACGCCATGTATACACTTCTCCCAGGGCTGTTCTTTTCTTCCTTTTCTTAGGAAAAAAGTGATGATAGTATTTTATTCCATACTCTTAGTGTATGAATTCAAAATCTCTTATCTTGTGATGCTTTTCCCTTTTAAAATGATTTGCATTGTCTAAATTAATGTGTAAATTTGCGTTTTCTAAATTAATGTGCAAAAACAAATGTAAAAAATGTGCATCTTGGATTCTGGCTCTGGGCAAGAGGAGGTAAGCACACTCTATCCTGTCATCCCACCGAACACAGTGTAAACTGCATGGAATATATGGAGATTTGTGAGAACTCTGGAAGGAAATAATAAGAGGCACACTGAGTCAGAGATCAGAAGTTAAAGTACCACCAAACCTGTAGTGAGTGTCCCATATTTTCCCCTCAGATATTGCCTGGCCTGGACTCAAAAGCAGCTTGAAACACAAAAGGACATCCAGGTGTGGAGGGAAAGAACTTCAAGACCTTGCTTTCTGGTCCAAGGAGCATTAAAAGAGACCCCAAAGGCTCCGAAAGAATGGAGGAAAATCCCTTGGGTTTTTTCCCCTTCATTTTGTTCTCTGCTACCCCAGGCAATCCTGCAACAGCAGAGGTAGAAGTTGGGCAGGTGCCTAAAACTGTGAAGGATATGAATCTTCTCTGACTAGAGGAGCTACAGCCTTAAGAACTGAAGAAAATCCCTATTGCTGATTTTTCTCCATGTCCTCCACCATTTAGCCCTGGATGCAGATGCAATCATGGGAAATGTATGGCAGAGTAGGCAAATTAAAGCCCTGGCTTTCTAACTGGAGGACCATGAAAGTGAGCCCCAGGGAACCAGAAAGTGTTGGGGAGATCACAGAGAGTAAGGAATAAAGTGATGTATGAACTCCTGGGCTCACAGCCAAGCAACACATGCATGGATCTCATAAACAATATACCAAAGGTTCTGAGAACCGTACTAGCTAGACACTCCATTTGTATGGACTATGCCCAGATTTTAGACTGACCACTGGGTGACACACAAATGGTACAAACCCAAATAGCAGTGACAAGGCTTTGAAAAATGAATCACTACAATCACAGAAGGCAGGTCAGAACTTGATGCATGAACCTAACCAGGTCAACTCCCTGCTAACACAAACAAAAGTCAGTATTTTCCTTACGATTGAAACAAGACCCAGTTTCATAGTATAACTTTCAAAATGTCCAGGATACAATATAAAATTACTTAGCTGAAAAGAACTAGGAAAATCTCAACTCCTAAGGGAAAAGATGCCAACCCCAAGATGACACAGATGTCAGAATTACCAGACAGAGATACTAAAGCAGCTATATAACTAAGAAATAAGACCAGTCTTACAATGAACGGAAAGATAGAAAGTCTCAGCAAAGGAAGAGAACATAAAGAATCAAATGAAAACTTTAGAACTGGAGAATGCAATACTGAAATTGAAAAGGTAAATCTTTTCCTTTATGTGAACTGCAACTAGAATGTACAGAAGAGGGGCGCCTGGGTGGCTCAGTTGATAATCAGCATCTGACTTCAGCTCAGGTCATGATCTCACGGTTCGTGAGTTCAAGCCCCGTATCAGGCTCTGTGCTGACAGCTCAGAGCCTGGAGCCTGCTTCAGATTCTGTGTCTCCCTCTCTCTCTGCTCCTACCCCACTCACACTCTGTCTCTCTTATTCAAAAATAAATAAACATTTAAAAAAATTCAGAATGCACAGAAGATTTTCTCTTTTTCAAGAAATGGAAACATAATTTGTCATGTAGGCTACATTTGGGCCACATGAGAACATATATTCAATTCTACCTCAAAACTACAAACCCAGCAGTGCAAGCTTTTAGGGAAGTATCAGTACTTCATAATAAATACAATAAAACGGGGGGGGGGGGGTGCCTGCGTGATGCAGTTTGTTAAGCTTCTGACTCTTGGATTCAGTTCAGGTCATGGTCTCATGGTGGTGAGATGGATCCCTGAGTTGGGCTCTGCACTGAGCATGGAGCCTGCTTGGGATTCTCTCTCCCCCTCTCTCTCTGCTCCTCCCCTGCTTGCTCCCTCTCCTTCAAAATAAATAAATCAACATTTAAAAAATAAACGCAATAAAAGGAGAGCCCATAACAAAAGAAAAGTAAATAATGGTCATCCCCTATTAACGTTTCCCCTTACTTTAAAAATTTGCTTTACATTAGAATTTGGCAAACTCAGTACAACCCCCAGTATGGGGTGTTAGCAGAATTATTAACTGCTTGTTATATTTTAAAAGAAGATGAGGTTGAGGCTGTATTTAAGTTTAATGGTGCGGGTGATTGGGTGATTTATGATACAGGTGATTCAGGGTTTTTTAGGGAAGAGGCCATAGGAATTGCAGCGTTATATAGTTATGGAACTTGGCTAGTGGTTGTCACTGGTTGGTCCTTGCTTATTGGCGTGTTAGTGATTATAGAAGTTACTCGTGGAAATTAAGTAAGAGTAGACTAAAAGTACTTATGTTTTGAAAACTACAATTAGCTAACCAAATACTCACTTGGAATCATCACTAAATACTAATATGTTCTTATAAACACAGTACTTAGCACAAAGTTAAAAATAAATATAAATATATGACTTCCAGAAGCAGCAATCTATAACAGACACCAATGCAGAATATGCAAATGATAATTTAAAAAAAAACATATGACAGAATCAAGAAAATTACCCAAAGAAAAATAAAAATCAAATATATAAAGTAATCCTAACCCCAACCCTAGCAGAGAGACTATGCCATGATTGGCTAGGAGCTGAAGGAGTGCACCCCTCAAGGCCCAGTACCTTCCTGCTTCCCAGAGATCACTTCTGCCTGAGACTGTGAAAAGAGGAAGTCAAACTCCAGAGGTAAATCTCTCACCAGATCAGCCAAGATAGCCAGCTGCTTTCTGCAAGAAAGAACAAAAATATAAAAGTTAATCATTAAACACTCTTCTCACAATTAGCTTCAACTTGCACTTCTACCTCATTGCTCACATAGTCCATCCACTAGTTGAGCCATGCTTCTTTTTGGCACTTCACTTGATTTTAAAGGTTTAAACTGCCTCCAAAGTATATCCTTCCACTTAAAAGGCAATATGATACCAGTAATACTTTTTCTTTGTGTAATTTTATAATTCAAATAGTATTAAAAGATGAGACCACAGTTCTGTGCCTCTCACAACGCTGAGTATATATAAGTGGCAGGAAGCACAGTTTCATAATTGCATGATTCCTAACTACTATGAAGGGAAGCTGTCAGACTAAGGAACACAATCTTATCCTCAGATCTTACACAATACAGAAACAACACCTCATATTACCACACAACAAGCACTGTTAGATCCACAAATTAATATCCTTTACAAAACTGACAATGAACTTTTTAATCTCCTTTTATATATTTTAAGGGCTGGGGTTTTGTTTCTTTATAAAAATCTTATCATTTGAAAAACCCAAATCAGGATCAAAATCCAAAGGTTATAACAATTTGGGGACAAAGTCTGAATCTTAGTATCTAGGGTTATTTTCTCCTCTCAAGTTTTATGCTATCAGTATTATTAAAGAAAAGCAAAGAAACAAAGCTAGAAGTAATAATATGAATCTAGAGAAAGTGGTTAAAAACAAAAGCAACTATCCTGGATCTTTAAAATAACTCATTAGAAAAATATTCTATTGGCTCAGCATGACTTAGTGAAGAATGATAACACTTAAAAGTAAAGAATATATTTAAAGTAATAATTTTCTTTAAGCTCAGGTCATGGTATCATGGTTGTGAGATCGAGCCCTGCATCAGGCTCTGCACTGAGCATAGAGCCTGCTTGGGATTCTCTCTCCTGCTCTCTCTACCCCTCCCAGCTCGTGCACGCTCACTTTCTCTGTCTCTCTCTCTCTCAAAATAAATAAACATTTTGTAAAAAAAAAAAAAAAAAAAAGGAAAAACAAAGTAATAATTTTACAATATACTGTCAAATACAATTTCTAAAATAGCTCGTTGTTATACATATTAAATCCTTACAATAAGAATTTTACATGGGGAACAAGAGGGATTATTTTGCTCTCCCTATTGGATATGTTTCCAATTGGCTATTTGCTTAAAATAAACAAAAAGAGGGCTTGCTGATTTGGGGGACAATATGGAAAAATGGGCACCCACATACACTGGTGTTTGGAATGTAAATTACTGGTATGATCTTTTTTTGTTTTTTTAAGTAGGCTCCATGCCTAGCCTGCTTCGGATTCTGTGTCTCCCTCTCTCTCTGCCCCTAACCCACTTGAATTCTGTCTTTGTCTGTCTCAAAAATAAATAAACATTAAAAAAAAATTTTTTTTTAATTAAGTAGGCTCCATGCCTAATGTGGGGCTTGAACTTCTGATACTGAGATCGAGAGTCAATGCTCTACCAACTGAGCCAGCTAGGTGCCCCACTGGTATGATCTTTTTGAGAGCAATCCAGGACTTTGTATCCAAATTTTTAACGTGCTTAACTTTTGACCAGCTATTACGTTTTTAGAAATTTATTGCAAGGAAATCATCAGATAAGAATACAAAAAGGAAGCGAATACTGCAGCTTTATAAAAATGAAAAAGTGACAACCTGTTAAATAATCTATGTCATATCCATATAATGTAATGCTAGATAGATGTTAAAAGAAATGAGGTCGACTTATACTCTATATGTATTGACATGAAAAGATGTCCAACATATTTTGAGTTCTAATAGGTTATGAAACAGTACATACAATATGATCCCAACTTACATTAAACAATAAACAAAAAACTTTTTCACGTACTGCACAGAATAGAACTTTTGTTCCTAAAATTCAATTTGTTTCTTTATTCAAAAAAAAAACAAACAAAAACTTTCAGTGGCATCCAGGTGGCTCAGTCAGTTAAGCATCTGACTCTCGGTTTTGGCTCAGGTCATGATCTCACGTTTCGTGAGTTGGAGCCATGCATCAGGCTGTGCGCTCACGGTGCAGAGCCTGCTTGGAATTCTCTCTCTCTCTCTCTCTCTCTGCCCCTCCCCTACTCGCACTTCTCTCTCAAAATAAATAAATAAGCTTTAAAACAAAACAAAAAAAACCCCCACAAAAACAAAAAACTTTCAGTGGCAAAATGCTGATAACTGTTGAAGCTGGGGGCTGAGAAAATAAGGATTCATTATGCTGTTCTATTTTTATTATGTTTGAAATTTTCCAGAACAAAAGTTTTTTCCCCCTTAAATGTCACCTTGTACTACCTTTGTAATTTCTTTTTAAAGGCATTTTCATTACAAAACAAAAAAGAGGTTAGTCTAACAAATTGTTAGTCTAGGCCTTTGACAAAGAAATAAAACCTAGTGATAACACATTTCAAAATATAGTCCAGGTGATTTAAACCCATTTTGAATATTGCTCACAAATGCTAATATATTAGTGGAGCATTAATTATACAAAACAGGTTCTTACAGTGATGGCTATATTTATGTCAACAACTACAGCTGCCTCAAGAGGTAGCAATGATTTCATAAGCCCAGGATAGATATAGGCATTATTTAGAAGAGGTGTTCAGAAAACGAATTAAAAGACAAGCTCTTCACAAATTCTTAAGATAAAAAAAAAAATACAAATATTCGGAGCCTCCATGCTAACAGTGAATATCTTAGACAAATGGAATGGAGTTACATAGTGGGTTTTGTCTGCATAGAAACTTCTTTGACAAACAATGTCAATGCTGAGTGACATCAGGAGATGAGGCAATCCTTTCTTTTGCTCCAGACCCACAAAAGGGGGCCAAACCATCACCCTCCTGGTCGGCTCTGCCTTTTTGACTCCCTCATCAACTTCTGTGGCCTTCATCCCCCTTCCTTGGTGTTGACCTCAGACCACTCACAAGCCTGTGATGTGGCACCCACTGTGTCACCTATACTCTTCCCAGGGTTTCTAAATTCTGAACTATATGATTATTACTTATGTCAGAATCAAAAATTATAACTTATGTGTGTAGTATGGTTAACAACTTTGTAGAAATTACAGAGAGATGTACAGAGAGAAGGGAATATGACAAAATGAAACACTTTCAATAGGGCAATAGGGATATAAGTTTGTTGTTTATTTTTCCTTTACTGCAGCTATAATATTTTGAAATTTGGTTTTAAAAATTCCAAAACACAAATATTGTTTTGTTTTGTTAAGAGAAAGCACGCATGAGAGAGGGAGAAGGACAGAGGGAAAGAGAGAGAGAAAATCCCAAGCAGACCCCACGCTGAGCACAGAGCCTGATGCGGGGCCTAATCCCATGACCCCAGGATCATGACGTGAGCTGAAATCAAAAGTTGGACACTCAACTGACTGAACCATCTAGCCACCCCAAAAACAAAACCAAAAAAATTTTCTTAAGTTTATGTATTTAGAGAGAGAGTACAAGCAGCGGAGGAACAGAAAGAGAGGGAGAGAGAGAATCCCAAGCAGGATCCATGCTGTCAGCACAGAGCCCAACACGGGCTGAATTGCAAGAACCATGAGATCACGACCTGAGCCAAAATCAAGAGTCAGACGCTCAACTGACTGGACCACCCAGGCACCCCAAAACAAAAATGTTTTAAAGGCCAAGATATATGGGAAAATAAGGGGTTAAAATAGGTCTCTCATTTCAACAAATGGTTATATAAAATAATCTGCTTCTCAACAGCAGACAAGATAGTAAACCAGTAATTGTGTATCTAAAGAGAAGGAAAGAAGCCCATTGAAAGAACTGTGGACATATGTTACATTGTCCTGCACGTCTGGCATAAGCAGCACAAAGCCCTACCTGCATAGCCAAGGTTTTTGTTGCTGGCCAAGAATACAAAATAAAACTTTCTGGAAAAGGGAACTGTTATTCACCAAGAAAAAAATATCTAAGCTAACAAAAAATACCTGCTGCCTATGAGACTTTGAACATTCCAGAAGAATGAATTCTAAAGTGAAGGGAGCTCACTCCCACCCCATGACCATAAGTGTGAAGGGACCAGGGAAGTGTCAAAGGGGAGAAATTACAAACAAGAATGTGTCTGACCTAAGTACAGCCACTGCCTCTTCCTCCTCTTCTTCCAAAGAAGAAAGAGGGATTGGGTGGCAAGATACTGGGCTACATTGCCAAGGTCAAGTGGAAAAGACTTGACTGGATGAAGCTGAAAAAAACTGTTCTAAAACAATGGAGACTGAGCTTTGTAAAGCAGCACCATGACCAGGCAGTTAAGGAGAGAGCAGCATTCCTTCCTACCGACCCCCAGGTACCCAGTTGCTCAGGTCAACCTCCTACAACCCTTCTGTTAACTGTGCTCCCCTTCTAGTGATCTAAATTTATCACCATCACCACTGCCCCTCAGTAAAAACTAAGAATCATTACAGCCATCACAGATAGATATTGATCCCAAAGAAGCAAATGACATGAAGCCCTGAACAGACTGTGAAATAACTGCGTGCAGGGGTGGCTTTGCTCTATTTTGAGCCAGGAGTCTTCCGGTGCCACCTGTGAACTCTGCATGGTGCACCCACAGCCCACCTTCAGACCAGGGGACTGCAAAGAATAACATGTGGAATCAGCCTGGCAACTCTCATGCCACCCATTCTCCTGTGTTCTTCAGACCCCCTATCTCACCTCTCAGGGAGAAGCCTCATGCCTGCTGTGCACAGGATGTAAAGAGGGGTCTCCTTGTGCTTCTTCACAGGCACGTGAGCAGCAGCAAAGCTCAGCAGAGGACGAAGGTAATCACTGGCATGTTCTGGAGTGTCGGCCATTGCAGAGATTCCTTAAGTAAGACAAAATACTTTAAAAAGCAGATCACGTGGATTCAGAAGATTGATACTCCATAAAGTTCTGCATAAGGTCCTAAACACTTATTTATTTGAGAGGACGGGAACAGCAATGAATGAGATCTCTCCCATTATCCAGACTCGCAAGAAAAAAAGGGAATAGCTTTCTTTCTGCCTCTTCACTCTCTCCTCTTTCATGCCTGTAGCAGGTAAAGAGACTGACAACAAAATACATGCCAAATAGTACCTGGCTTGATTTTTTTAACCACTGGTTGGCTGTTGCGGTCTCTCATCTGCTTAATGTCCAGTAAATCATGAGGGTTGCCATTATGTCTTGGCCAGAAATAAACAAAAATCCGGGAGCCACTGCTGCCACAATCCACGACAAGTCCGTAATTTAGAGTTGGGTCTTCAGTGTTGGTTGCTTCAAGCTCCCCTACTCGAGCCAAATACCTGAGCCAGGCAAAAAGAGAAACTGGGATTAAAGAGTTTTCATGAAGTGTCCACCTGTGCCAGCCACATGGAACCACACATCCTGAGGAATGAAACAACACTGACCATAATTAGTGATGTACATAGATAATGCCTGGTTTTCTTCCCGAGAGCCATTGAAATGGCAGTGGGGGCAGTTCTGAAACTGGCTGGGATACCAAATGTTTTACCATCTTTAAAGAGCTTCTAGGTCTAAGCAAATAACTATTTTTTATGGTTATAAGCCACCGAGATATGGGGCAGTTTGTTATACACACTAGTTAACTAAAACAATCCTAATAATTTCTCTTCTATCTCTCTATCCTTTCTGTACATAAACATTAACACTACTTTGGAATGATTATCACTTAATATGTGTTTCTGGGTGGCCATATTTATGGGGCTTTTTGCTTTGTACTTTTTACTGTTAGAACTGCATTAATAAAAAATGTATTTCATAAACACAGTAGTTATTCTTTTCTATATCTCTTAAAGTATTTTACAGTCATAAAAAGAATGCTTATAAAATATGTATAAATAACAATAAAACAATGTACCCAACACCCAGTCTAAAAAAATAAAACATTACACTGTTAAAAAAAATAGCTTCTAGGCCCTAGGACATCAGAATTTTGTGTTGGAATTTTTTCAGATTCTCATTATAAGGTATTTATGTGGTGGACAGCAGGAAGATGAAACAAGTAAAGATGCTACCATCAAAACACCAAGGTTTGAGTCTCTCACCTCTGGCACTTTCTATGCTGTGTGACCTTCAACAAGTTACCTACCTTCTCTCAGACTGTTTTCACATCTATAAAATAAGGATACCAAGTCTCCGCCCTCATACAGACAATGTATGCTGAGTGGTTAGCACAGCGCTGTACCACTGCCACTGCTTTTACTGTTATGTGATAATAATTGGGAAAGCAAATAGGAGAAGACTCTCTGGAGAAAAGAGCTGAAAAGTCCAGAAGAAAAGAAGGCTAAGAGTCGGTAAAATGCTCCTGAGTCTTAGGCTTTAATAAACATTAAGGTTCACTTAGAACCTGAGAGTCTGAAAAGTACAAACATTGCTGAACTTCTCTTTGAAGAGAAGCTCAGTGAGAATGGCTTTTAACTTATTATTGGGAAAAGCTCTTTCTTGGTGCTGAGAATACATACTGCACGGTAAAGAGATTAAAACGTTGTCCTGTAAATTCTTTTAAATTTGATTAAGTATTACTATAGGTTGAGCTAATAGTTGAATAAATGCTTTGAAAGCAATGCTGTGTATTTTTTCAAGTATCACCACTAAACTCCCTTCCTTATATCTGCCCTACTCATCCAACACTGTATTTAGAGCTAATTCCTAGATCCCCTAGACCCTTACACAGAACCCCTCAGAACTAGGTTTTGTGGGGGCACCTGGGTGGCTCAGTTGGTTGAGCAACCGACTTCAGCTCAGGTCATGATCTCACGGTTTTTGAGTTCGAGCCCTGTGTCAGGTTCTGTGCTGACAGCTCAGAGCCTGGAGCCTGCTTCTGATTCTGTGTCTCCCTCTCTCTCTGCCCCTCCCCCGCTCATGCTGTCTCTCTCTGTCTCAGAAATAAACATTAAAAAAAATTAAAAAAAAAAAAAAAAAAGAACTAGGTTTTGTGAAGCCTGAAACTAATGCCATTGGATAGTTGTTGTGTTTGTTGTTGTTGTTGTTTTAAGAAAGATTCAACATTACAAATACGAAAAGGGGCCTACACATGTAAGGGGCCCTGAAGTGTAGGTATCACTAGCTCTTCGGTAAATCTACCTCTGATCAGACAATTAGCCACATGTCCCACCCCTCACAATAATCTAGGCCATGTTTACTGGTGATTTGACACTGCTATGCAGACCACATAGTTCCCTGCTTTGGGGAGGGAAAAGCAAACCTTGATGAATGGATGAGCATATAGAATCAGTTCTGAAATAAAAAAGTAGAGTTAAGTACCTTTCCTACTCTGCAATACAAAATAAGGGAGGATCATATATTTGAGCTCCAGTATCATGCTGTAAATGATTACATAGGATAGGGTCAGGTAGAACTTTTTTCCGGATCCAATATGAGAGGGAGTTATGGGAAATGAAGCAAGTGGTAAAAATCTGTTACACTCTAGCAAGTTTATGTTCCCAAAGACTGTTTCACCACAAACTTTACCACTCTAATCAGATTACTGGGCTGAACTGGGCTTATGATCCACAAATCAACTCATAACAGCTCACTTCTATCACATAAAAGCTGGGAAGATATCTGGGTTCAAGTTACAGAACTCTTGCAAATACTGACCTCACGCAAGGTAAGCCATCTCTAGCCCAAAGTGACTTTTCATTTCCTACCCTAGCAATCTTTCTACTTCACATGCTTCACAGATCTTTCTGTGCTTTCCCTCTCTCGAAACCTTCCCCTCTACTTTTCTGACTAGATTTTAGACCCCATTCCCTCCTGCTTAATGAATAACTTTTCTCCAGTACACTGGTTCTCAAACATCTAGGCTCAGGACCCCTTTTGTATTCTTAAAATTTATTGGATGCAAAAGAGGTTTTGTATATGCGGGTTACATCTATTTATATTTACCATGTTAGAAAACAGGACAGAAAATTTTTAATATTTACTTAGATAAAACAATACTCTTTACATATTAATATACTTTATAAAAATAACTTTTTAATTTTTAAAAAAAATTTTTAATGTTTATTTTTGAGAGACAGAGAGAGCAAGCATGAGCAGGGGTGGGGCAGAGAGAGAGGAGACACAGAACCTGAAGCAGGCTCCAGGCTCTGAGCTGTCAGCACAGAGCCCAACGCGGGGCTCGAACCCACGAACTGTGAGATCATGACCTGAGCCGAAGTCTGATGCCTAACCGACTGAGCCACCCAGGTGCCACCAAAATAACTACTTTTTTAAAACAAAAAAAATAGAAGAGTGACATTGTTTTATGGTTTTGCAAATCTCTCTACTGTGTAGATTAATAGAACACAGCTAGATTCTCATACTTGCCTCTGTATTCAATCTGTTACAGTATGTTGTTTTGGTTGAAGTATATGAAAAAAAATCCAGCTTCACAGAGACATGTTGTTGGAAAAAGGAATATTTTAATAACCCGTTTAGATTCTTCTTTGATACTAAAGTTCAACAAGTGGGGTTTCTTAAAGGTTAGCTGCAATGTGAAATCTAAAACCCTATCTAAGAATGTTTTATACTCCATAACATTAACCATTAGTCTATCTTGCACTTTGAATCTTGCACTTTGAATGTGCATTTACCCCGGCACAATTTTGTAACATCTTATACTGGGAAATATTGGTTCACTGAGCTATGCAAATCTCCCTAACATTGACACATTTCATTTTACAACATTAAACACACACACACACACACACACGTTAATATCACTACCAATATTATCAAAAAAAGTCTTTTTCGGTGGGGGGATGGGCTAAAAGGGTTAGGGGCATTAAGGAAGACACTTGCTGGGATGAGCATTGGGTGTTATACACAGGGGATGAATCACTGGAATCTACTCCTGAATACATTATTGCACTATATGCTAACTAACTTGGATGTAAATTAAAAAAAAAAAAAAAAAAGTCTTTTAAGTATTAAGAAGCTAGCAGACTCATGGTGGCAGATACAAATGTTCCAAACTGCTAATTTTCACTTGAAAGCTCAGATGTTATCACTGGCAATAAAAGCTAACAGTTGGCTTCCTTAAAGTGACAGGATTTTACTTCATTCATTTTCAAGAAGAGCGTTACAAAATATCCATGTCTGAAAACCATAGTTTTTCTGGCATTCTTTCAAGTAAGAATAATATTCCGTGATAAAAGCAGCTAGGTTTAACTCACACCCCAAACAATTGCCTAAGGGCTTTTCCTCAAGACAACTCGGTGTGCAAGAGAAGTGCATACTTCCAATTTTGTCACACAGAATATGAAAAAGATATTCTTTTTTTTTTAAAACATTTTTATTATTTATTTTTGAGAGACAGAGACAGAGCATGAGTGGGGGAGGGGCAGAGAGCGAGGGAGACACAGGATCTGAAGCAGGCTCCAGTCTCCGAGCTGTCAGCACAAAGCCCGATGCGGGGCTCGGACTCGAGAACCTCAATATCATGACCTGAGCTGAAGTCAGACGCCTAACTGACTGAGCCACCCAGGTGTCCCATGAAAAAGATATTCTTAAATGGAACCTGAATTTTTTCCCATTACAACTGTGTGACAGTGACGACTATAATAACTAACAGTAGAATTTGGTGCCTCCATCTTGATTTGTGTCAAGGCACCTGCAGTTCTACCTACCTGTTGCTTTGCATCACTAGTATATATGTCAACTCAGTGAAAAGGGCAAATAGCAACATACTAGCCAAGAGGGAGAAGCAAATAAAGTATCCAAGGACAGATGAATAAATGAACAAAATGCATTATATACATAAAATGGATATTCTTCAGCCTTAAAAGAGAAGGAAGCTTTGTCATATGCTACATATGGGTGAGCCTTGAGGATATTATGCTAAGTAAAACAAGCCAATCACAAAAAGACAAATATTGTGAGTTCCACTTACATGAGAGATGGGAAGCAGCCATATTCATCAAGACAGAAAATAGAATAGTGGTTACCAGGGGTTGGCGCAGGGAGGGAAAAAAGTAGAGTTGTTGTTTAATGGGTATAGAGTTCAGACTTGCAAGATGAAAAAGTTCTGGAGATTGGTCAAATAACAATGTGAATACACTTAACAGTACTGAACTGTATACTTAAAAGTTGTTAAAATGGTAAATTTTATGTTATGTGGTTTTTTCCAATTAAAAGAAGGGCAAGCAATCCCTATCAAAATAACACCAGCATTCTTCACAGAGCTAGAACAAACCATCCTAAAATTTGCCAGAGACAAGGCCAGGCAAATAGCGCTTAAACAATCTATTCTAAAGAAAACCAAAGCTGGAGGCGTCACACTCCTGGACTCCAAGACGTA